ACCAATGTCACAGGAGACATGGTTGGATGCAAAATACTAAGAGTACTTTGTTAGAAGTACTGCCCTCCAGTGGCTATCCATGCACACGTCCGGCTATCTATGGTGTTATGGCTAATGTATCCGATATCTCATTGTGTTGAAAATAATGAATTATTTATTCCTTTACAGTCCTTTAAACAACTGTGTACAGACAGTGAGTAAAGTGCATGATCTTAATGTTTTGGAATCCACCATGCATGACCTCCCTTGCACATAAGACAAACAGGAAGACAACCAGGAAATGAGATGTGAACACATCACAGAATGTGTTCCATCACCTTAAATATGACAGCCCACCGACTGACAAGCTCAGAGTAACACTTGACTTTACTCATTTTATTTCACTAATCATCATAACAAAACAAACAAACTGAATTCACATTTATAAATTAGTCACACAGCACCAGAAACATCAGTGCTAGAAAAATATGTGCTGTACATAACAGTCTCTTCCAGTTTATGTCCATGACATTTAGAGGATCATTTTAGTTTCAATAAACATCCTAATAGCAGTCCACTCCAAAGCACAATAGTCTTCCATGTCCTGTGAGTCCAGAATACTGTCGCATCACATGATGATGCAACCCTCCAGGTTGAGCAGCAAAAGATCTCATCGAAGATCTGATCAGATACCTCTAGGCGGGGTAGATGCCTGTTTTTCCAACTCCTCACCATTGACTTTAGGTGCCCTGGAAAGCAAGTCTCGTATATCTGCCTCATCGTTGAAGGGGTTGTCCTTGTATTCCTTCCGTAGCCACTCTCTGAACTACAGGAAAACAAAAACGGTTTCTGTTAAAAACAGTATAAAGAATTTCACAACATACAAAATACTAATTACAATACCAGTCCAAAATTGTGACTGGTAGTGGATGTACTGTGTGAGTCGGCTCTGTGATGCAGTTGTCATTCGTATTCTCTCGTATACTTCATTTTGCTGTTTGCTTCCTAGGACTGACCTCTTCAGCTTGAGTATCCTCAAATTCCTGGAGCTGCCTCTGGAAACCCAGGTTGGGGCCGGCACAGGGCCGGGCCACCTTCACTGCAGCCAGCGCCTCCTGCCAGCCCAGTCCTGTCACTGTCATGATGTAAGCTACCACCAGGGTGACACTGCGGGACACACCCGCCAAACTGTACAAGGTGAGGGAAGTGCAAAAGAATAAAGCAAGAAGTTAAACTGACAGGCTACATGATTATCATCATTTAGATATGGGTGTATAATGTACTTTCACTTTAAGTTAGACATGGAAAATAAGATCAGTTATATTTTGAAGCAGATAATGATCAACACCGGGACTAAGACAGAGAAACAACTAAGCACACTAACACAACACAGATCAGATATCTGACTAAGGAGCAATGTAGCACTTGTAACGTAGCTAGTTAAGGTATGAGCAACAACATTAACTAAAACTAAGAGAAAAATCAGATGCGAGGGCCACGGGAATAAAGCAAGAGGCAAAAGAGACCAGCCACAGAGATCAGACTACGAACCAGTTCTCTGGAAGGGAAACACAAGTCCACAAATGAAAAATCCCAAAAGCAAACAACTGAGGCAAACAAGGGCTAAGTCCAAACAGAAAAACAGGATTCAGGAGCCGGAAGACGTCTAATGTGAAGACACAGATGATGAACTAGAGAAGACTGAATGGGCCTAAATACTGGCTGGTAGGTTACTGATGGGAAACGGGTATGAGTAATGGAGACAGGGGCAGGTAAAGCTGACACAGAGAGGATGGATAGGGAAGCAGGGGACTACCAAAATAAGAGTCTGTTACAGGAAGTACTGTGAATCATGACAGAATATAGCTTAATTGTTGCTCTTTTCTTCCAAGATAGAAACTTATATGAAGAAACAAAACCCATGTTAACAGGGACACCAGTCAATTTGTCCATATTCCATGTAGATGTTACAGTATATCCTAAATATGTGCAAAACCAGAGTAACAGTCTACATGTAAACATACCAATGGCATAGGTTTGATATGGCATTTGCATGTAACGTGAGCTTTAGATCACCCCCTCCCTTTCAGTAGGTCAAGCACATCATCGTAATGATCAAAGGTAATGCGCATGGCCTTGCTCAAATATTGGTAGAGACATTTCGGTCTTCCTAAAATATTGGTAGGGACATGTTCCTACCGTCCAAATCCCAAACTACATCCTTGAAACATACTGTGTGAGAACTAGAGGTGGAAATCACATTTTAACTGAAGATTCTGTAAATACAGTAAAGAAAAAGAAAGCCAAATTATTCCCAGTAATAAGTATTGGATTAAACAATAGGTAACATTTAAGGCAGCACCAACTAGACTACAGAAAATAGTGTAGGGTAAAAAACATGGGGAGTGAATTCTTTGGACAAGTAAATAAGCCTTTGGCAGTGTAAAACTTGTTCCTCTATATTTCTGAGAAAACACTCAGTTTAAACAAATATAACTTTCCCCTGTGAAGATTTGGTCAGCATACTGCACGAGCCTGATGTGGTTTTAAACCTCGTACTGTACTCTGTTTTGAGGAAGTTCAAGAATGGTACTTTGCTTATCATTTAATCTCTTCAGTGCAGCAGTTACATATATGTTCGCTTGTGCACTCGGTTGATCTCAGCTCTAGCTCAACACTAAGCATTTATATTCATCAGGTCTATGACTGTATTGTACTTGGATGAAGTCTCATCTTGTTCAGTTACTTATTGTATGTAGCATCTCTTGTTTCGTGTAAAAATACAAGCAATCTCACTCTTACCAGTGAACGAGGCAGCCCTCTCCTTTCAGACGGGATTCATGCATGAACATTATACTTTGTTTAAAGTGCTGAGTCCTGTGGAGCAGAAGAAACTGACTGTTATAATAGGTCATGACCACATTAAACCACAGAGCGAGAACTGCAGGAAAAACAGTGCTGCTACGTGCTGTTATCTTGTCTTCACTGACACTTTGAGCTTTTTTTTTTTTTCCTCTACATGGCAAATTTGCACCTATTTGTCAAACCCCTCCATTTCTCATCCTGGATGATCAGGATGGGGAGATGCTCATCACAGGTTTGAGTTGGCGTCATACTTCGCATGACAGTTTTTTAACACTGAGGCAATAAGTGTGAAAGGGGAATTAGTGTCTATATGCCTGTAAGGGTGTGTGTGCATATATGCAGGCCCAGATGTGTGAGTGAGTGTGTGGAGGGAGCAGGGGTGTATAAATAGAGGCACAGCACCAACCATCGTGCTAAAAGTGCAAAACTGAGTTGTGAGACTTCCTTCTTGCAATGATTGCCTGAAACATGAATTTGGCCATAGAAGACTGTTTGTGTATGTGTGTTTTTAATGCATGTGTGTCTATACCAGGGTATCCCTTTTTAATACATGCACGATCCTGTATTTGTCTACTCCACTTCCTCATATTGCATACAGTAAAATACAACTGCGGTTATTTGTACACAATGGTACATGTCATGTGCTTCATGCACCAAGAGCTGAATCTAGTCGTGTGACGGTGGTGTCATCAGAAAAGACGTTCACATTTAAATGTTGAGCTTGTGAAAGCATATCATTTACACTTTAGCTTGAAGAAAATGAACCTCAAACACCCACACATTGCAGCCTTAAATGGATTTGGTACACTCTCTTTGCCTCAGCCTTTCATTGTTGTGTGCTGTGTTGCTGTGCTGTACTTACAGGTTTTGTGTGGGCACGTCAGCTGCTGAAATGCACAGATAGGTCATCTCCTGAGAGACAAAGTATTCCAGTAACCTGTCAGCAGTCACTTGCTCTAATGTATTAAACACAATTCAATAAACAGCAGGTAATAAATACCACTGCGCAGCAACGTTATTAAGGTTTTATAACACATTCTGTACGTCTGTTACTAAACACAGGCTGTACTAAGTGTGCAGCTGTTCAGTTGATTAGCAGTAAAACTACAAAACTGAGAACAGAAGCTACTGGGTGTTAGAAGAACTTTACATCAAATCAACAGCCTAGAAAAATGTCCACATGGCTGCAACAAGACCAACCACCTACTCTCAAACCCACACAAGCACATAACTCGATACACTGACCAAACAAATTGATATTGACTGGCATTTTTCACAAATCACAGGAGTGAGAAACTCTCCTGCTTATTGTTTACTCACTCCAGGCTGACAACTGTTTGTTCAGGAAGCAGCATGCTGAGCACGAAGTCACGTCTTCCTGAACAACCTGACAGACTGGTTTATGGACCGTGTCAGAACCCGAGGCATGTGCACTCTACTGACTTATCAAAAAGGTCTCAATGGGGGCAGGGATGCTAAAACAAGGAGATGAAGAGCCTCTCACCTGGAGGATGGGAGATGCACTGTCATGAATGGCCAGGATGTGTGTGATGTTGTTTCTGGCTAACTGTTCTCTGTCTCTTGCATCTGACATAGACAAATAACAAGACATTGATATGTGTAGTCATACTGTATAAATCAAATCAAAATGACATAAATACCTTTGAAATTTCCCACGTACAAGTCAGGCAGGACCTGTAAGGACAGAGAATACTGTAAGAACATTTGAAGCAGCTGTGGTCAAAGCATCACTGATGTAGTGAAGTGGTACAACAGTTGTGAGAAGTTGAAACAGCTGACTCAGATGACAGCCTGAAAGCATGAAGTAAGAATTATAAATAATAGCCTGCTGTTCAAAACTGAATCTCGGATCATGTGACAACGTAAAAAAACATTCAGGTGAAATATAGCCTAGGCCTCTATAAAATATTAATGATTCGACTACTTAAGTTAATAAGGTGTATGTTTTATTCTTTTGGATACGACGCATCTAAATCCACTGGCTTATGTAAATCTCACTAGCAGACATAACTTTTCATTTTGATAAAGGTCTCAAAGACTGGTAACGATGACGACTATCCTCTCTTTCATTACACTCCAAACACCGCGGACCACTTGTGTGTGAACTCCAGCCTAAAGCGCACGTAACAGATGAAGACCATACCTTGTTGATGCCATTACCCATGGTGGAAGAACAAGTCTGGAAAAACAATGTCGAGAAGAAAACGCCACGATGTGAGTTCTCGTTGTTTAAAACTGCTTATCCGCCGGCTTGTCGACTTCCCAAACCCGCTGTAGTGAAGCGAAAGCAGCAGCTCCGCGTCCGAGCAAACCATGCACTGCTGCTCAAGCTACCGCTGTTGAATGCTGGGATTTGTAGTTTGCTTATAGAGGTAGCGGTGGACAGGTGTGGGCTAAACCCAACCGGGGTTTTAGACATGATGTTGGAATATTAAAATCCCCAGCCTTCTGGCCTAATGACAGAAAATACTTTACCCTAAAACAGGGAACACGTTTCCTTACTGTGCACATGACAATAAATGCTTTGAGTCAGAGCAAAATTAGCTATAGCCCTGTGGAATATCACGGGGAGATAGGCTATATGTAGGCAATTGTTACTGGAGAGTACAAAGTCCTTTGTGACAAAGAGTGGGGAAATGTTTTCACACTAATTAAAATTGGTGATTTAATAATTTCATATCTAAAAAAACAATTGTCATGTTTCTTTTTGAGGAAGTACACATAAAATTAGATGTCAGCTTTTTGACCCTCTTCTTTGAGAGTAACATTGCCTTACTGTTCAGTCCAGGGTGTGCAGATTTGATTACTAGTGAAACATCTCAGCAGACCCAGAGACTGTGGTGTGCGCCGGATCCATCGTGGTAGTACTGTGTATGTATGTATTACACATGATTGTCTCAACCTTGTGCAAATTAAGGTAAATCATTTCTCAGAACTGTTTCAGCTGTACTGAGAGTTTGAGGAGGACTGGCTACACTAGGCATGCCCAGGGTCTCTGTCTCCCTTACAAAAGGTTGTCCAGACACCATCCTTAACATCCTGTTTATCTCATTTTAACGAGCATTCCTTTGTCTGCATTGTTTACACTGCTTATTTTGCACTGTTTGTTGCTTGTTAATACTGCTTATTTTGTTATATTACACAGCCTTATGCTGGTTTACTGTTTACTTGCCCCTTGCATGGGGATATGTACATACACATTGAGAGTCGATGTACCAGAATCAAATTCCTCGTGTGTACGACACACCTGGCCAATAAAGCAGATTCTGATTCTGATTCTGAAGCTGAAGGACCTATCAGACACAAATGAGAGAGCCAGTTGTCAGAAAAAAAAAAAAAAAGGGACGCGAGTACAGCAACCTTTCTTGAAAAGCTTGTCAAGGAAAGAAAACCCCAAGGGGAAGAAAGAGACAACAGAGTCAGAACAGGAGAGGGATTCTGTTAGGTTACATTCACCTGAGAAAGTAAATTGGAGACATGACAGGCAATTTGCAACCTGAATTTGTGGGTGCAGTGATGTTCATCTCTGCCAGTGAACATGACAGGAATACCCAGATCACTCTGCAGCAGTGTCACCACTTCCCTCCTCAACATCTCTGCAAACCAAGACCCAGGCAGCTGAAAAAAAAAGGAGGGCTGGAGCATGCATAAAGAAGCCAGTCGATAACATGGGCAGCTACAGTGGTACTTTTACAGAGAAAGGATGCCATTTGACAGCTTTGTACTGTTAATAGTCACATTATCAACAGGAAGTGCTGCTACCCGCTGCTATACACTGACAAATTTACACTGGCCACACATTTATACCACAGGCACCAGTTGGTTTAACTTCCTGGTTGTTCTATATAGGGCAGCATGTGACTGCCACACTACAGCTTGAATAGGATGAGGTGTCTGCAGCAGATACAATATGCGAGGTGACCAAAACCCACTGCACAGTGCTTCACATGGCAAATGTGTTCCAGGTCACCTATAGACAATTCAGTTTATTGTTTATTTTTAACTATGGATGGAAAGTAGTTTTCATGTACAAAATGAGGTCATTACATTCATCACTTTGTTTGTTAAACTGTCACAGAAAGCTGGAAAGTTTCCAAATTAGCTGCAGATTATACCTGCAGTAAATGTGAATAATAGAAAAACAAGTAAACCATAAAACCAGACAATGCAAGACAGGTAAATGTGATACTGCTTTGTTGTGGCTTTAGTGTGCAAAAGAAGGAATTTATAAGGGGGGTGTTCACAGATAGGCTGCCCAAAATCTAGGCCTACATGTCATACATCGCCTACGCTGCAAGAGGCTACAATACAGGTGGTTTCCCAGTCTAGTTTCACATGAACACGTGTTTTATCAATGAACTTGTTTTCTTTTTTAAATTGGAACAGGGAATTAGTTTTAGCTTTGCTGCTTTAACCAATATTGATATGGAGCTGGTTTGTTCTTGTAGGCTACTTACAAAATGCAAGGTAGTCTATTTGCTTCCTCATTCAGATTCTGTAAAAGCAGTGGTGGAGGAAGTATTCAGATTGTTTACCTAAGTAAAAGCAGAAATACCTCAAAAGTGCCAAAATAAATAAAGGAATGTGCAGAATGGCACAGTTGGTAATGTGGTTATAATTTGAAGTACATTGCATACTGCTGAGTAGCTTGTGAACACCAAGGATCAATAAAGTATTATGAGTAAACTTATTTTGTTTTATTAATCTCATTCAGTGCAATATACATGTTGTATGATATTAAGTCAAATTATGACATAGCAGAAAATTAATATACTTAAGTGAAGCACAGATACCACAAAATTGCACTTAAGTACAGTACTTGAGTAAAAATAATTAGTTAATTTCCACCTCTGTGTAAAAGCATTGGTCTCTCCTGACAGATAATGTTTAGACAGCTGAAAACTGGAGGTAATAACGACTAGAATAGTGTATCAGTAGAGAGTTAAAATCTCAAGTTGGCAGTTGGCATCCAGCTGTGGAAAGTTGTATTGTCAAGTGTTAGTTACTTTCACCAGTAGGGGGCGACAATGCCACACGAAAAGAAGTACATATGGTCCTAAAACAGTGAAATCCTTTATTAGGCTGCCTGTTATTTGAGATCGTTTGGCAAATTTTTAGCTAAAGCTAAAAGATTAGAAGAAGAGACTTGAATAGAAAACATTTTATCTCTTCTAAATAAATATCCTGCCACTTATACAGACGATGATAAAATTAATTTGTCTCTAATGCAACTTAAATTAGATGAGATTTATAAATCTAAAGCAGAAGGTGCTTTTGTAAGGTCAAGATTAAAATGGCTTGAGGAGGGAGAAAGTAACACAGCATACTTTTTTAGGTTAGAAAAGCACCGCTCTAAATTAAACAGTATTCATCATCTTGAAATTAACGGCAATATAACAGATGACCCAAAAACAATTTCTCACTTCTGCCAGTCTTTTTATAGTAAATTATATACCTCTAACTATTCTGAGCAAGCTACTCACCAGTTTCTTGACTCCTTAACAGGGACTACAAACATCTCAGACTCTGGAAAAGAGCTATGTGATAGAGAATTAAGTTTAAATGAAGTTACCTATTCGATTGATCACCTCAAATCCAATAAAAGTCCAGGTGCAGATGGATTAACTGGAGAATTTTACAAACTATTTTCCACTGAGATTGCTCCCTTCTTACACAAAGTTTACTTAGAGTGCATCAAGAATGGCTCTCTTATCCCGACTATGTGTCAAGGAATATTAACTTTAATCCCCAAGGCAAAAAAAGATCCCCTCAATTTAGAAAACTGGCGTCCCATATGTCTTCTTAATAATGATTATAAAATTCTGGCTTCTATATTAGCTAAAAGAATTAAAGCTGTCCTAGACTCCGTTATTAGTGAAACTCAGTCAGGATTTATGCAGAACAGACATATATCTAACAATATTCGATTAGTATTAGACACCTTAGACTACTCTTATCTAATTAAAGATGAAAGCTTTATTCTCTTCCTCGACTTTTACAAGGCCTTTGATTCTCTCAACCACAACTTTATATTTTGCTGTCTTGAAAAATTCGGCTTTGGTCCTTTTTTTTGCAATGCAATTAAAACATTATACAACAATGCTAATTGCTCGATTAAATTAAAATATGGAACTACGCCTAGGTTTGACTTAAAAAGGGGAATCAGACAAGGTTGTCCCATATCTCCTTACCTTTTTATACTGGCTACTCAACTCCTTGCTGACCATCTAAAATCCAACAATCTCAAAGGAATTACAGTTGAAGACAGAGAGATTATAATAAGTCAACTGGCTGATGACACTACCTTATTCTTGAAGGACAGTTCCCAAATCTCTAAGGCCATTAATCTAATTAAAACTTTCTCGGAAGCATCTGGTCTCAAGCTTAACATTCAAAAATGCGAACTTCTCCCTATTAAGGACTGCAATCTAACTAATATCTCTGGAATACAAGTTAAAGACAGTGTTACATACTTAGGTGTTACTATATCCAAAAATCAAACTTTAAGATGTTCCCTCAACTTTGAGCCCATACTCAAGAATGTTAAGAAAAGATTTAATCAATGGCTTCAACGCGACCTCTCACTTTTAGGTAGAGCCTTACTCTCTAAAGCAGAAGGAATCTCTAGGTTAACATATGCAGCTCAATCCTTATACTTAAATCCGCAAATACTTAAATCAATTGATCAAACATTATTTAACTTTATATGGAAAAATCGCATACACTATGTTAAAAAATCTGTAATGATGAATACATATGGAAATGGTGGCCTTAACTTATTAGATTTTACCACCCTAAACAACACCTTTAAAATCAATTGGCTGAAATCTTATTTGAAATCTCCTTTATCTATCTGGTATATATTCCCTCACTGTGTTTTCTCTAAAATTGGTGGCTTAAAATTTACCTTGCTCTGTCAATACAATGTTAATAAAATCCCAGTAGTACTTTCCAATTTTCACAAACAATAAGAAAGAAGAACAATCGAGCTATTCGGGCTATTTTTCAACAGGATGTAGTGTCTATGCCATAGATTATATCATATTGGAATAGTTTGGTTCCAGACATTTGCTGGGATAAAGTATGTTTATTGCCTTTTAGATATATGATCAGTAATAAAATAAGAGAGGTCTCCTTTAAGTTAATTCACAGATTTTACCCATCTGCTCATTATCTTACAAGATGTAATAGGTCTATTAATACACCGTGTGTTTTCTGTAATGCCTCAGAAGAAACTACTGTTCATTTATTTTGGGATTGTCCATTTTGCTATGATTTATGGCAGAATGTCTCTGTATTCATCACCTCCA